AACAGGGCCTGGTCAGACTCCACGCTCAGCAGGGAGTCTGCTTGAGATTCTCCCTCTCCCTCTGCCCCTCCTGCCTTGCGCTCTCGCTCTAAAATAAATAAATCTTTGCGGGGGGGGGGGGATAAAAAGGACAGGGCCTGGCTCAGGGTGAGTGTGCAAGAGCTGCACCGTAGCCATAGGACAAGGGGTCTTCTTGCCTTGAGGCTGGGGTTCCAGGAGGATGGTCCTTAAGCCTAGCTGACTCCTGCTCAGCCCCCACTTGCAGCCTGTCTGGCCGGTCAGAGAGGTATAGGTTGTTTTCAGGGGCCCACACTTCTACGGTCACAGAACACCTTGCATCTTGCATCCAGACAGGATGAGCAGCCCCAGCATGGGGTGGGAGCCCGTTCTCCCAGGTCCCCTGCCTCCCTGATGAGCTCCAGAGATGGCTTTACACTTTTTCCATATCTTCCTGCTTCTGGATCCTGTCAGGAAGCACGTGTGGAAGTTTGGGGCAGTCTGGAACCCTCTGTTGGGGTGTCTTCCTCCTCCCTCTACTCCATACACGCTCTCTCCTTGGGGACCGTCTTAGGGTAGGCTAACTGCTCACGCCTACAACCTCCAGATTTTGCCTTAACACACTCAAGATTTATTAGGTGTTCACACCATAGCACAACTCTGGTCGTGGGAGGTGCCTGGTCCTCTAGGATCCCGTTTCTAGCCTGTAGATGCGGCGTGAGAGAGGGGTGGTCCTAGATCTCCCCTCCCAGGGGGCCAGTCTGGGGTCAGTGCTGTTGGACAAGTTCTTTCTGCAGAGGTGGCAGCCCGTGGCCCCCGAGGCATCTGCAATTGCCAAGTACAAGTAGAGAATTAAACGCAGGTGATTTTTGCAGCCACCCCTACTGCCTGCATTACACCTTCCTTCCCCTGTTTTCCCCTCTCCCTCCTTCTCCAGAAGGCTGTTTCTAGTCCCTTTAGCAGGAAAGAATCCCCCCGCTTGGTGGAATGTCCCTTCTAGTTGGTCTGCAGTGTTCACTTTGGGTCTGCTTCCACAGTGCGCCGGGACACTCCTATTACTGACGGAGAGCCCCCAGAAGGGAGCACGGGGGCTGTCTGTGCCTGGCACCCAGGAGGTGCCCCGAGAACGCTCGTCGAACGAATGAATGAGCAAGCCTAGTGGCGGGAGGCTACCTAAGCACTCAGGGCTGTGTTACCACTGCATCTGCTGTTCATCAACCCTGTGTCACATCTGTAAATGCAATGTTCTAATCCACCGAAATGGCCCAGTAAGGTGTCAGGAATAGGAACATCCTGATTTTATGGATGGGGAAATTGAGGCACAGAGCAATTAACATCACCTGCCCAGCCCAGGGCAGCTGAGCTGCGATGGGGTTTCCAGGTGTCTGCCATGCCCATCTTCCTCCCCCGACCCGGTGGTGGGGGTGGTGGGGATAGTCAGAGACTAGCTCACCTGGGATACTGGGCTGGGCATGATTGGGTTGCTTGCTGTGGAAGTCAGAGGTGACATTCCGGCCATTGGGGTTTGCAGGCCTTTGTCCCAGCTCCCCCTGGCGCTCCCCCCACCTCCAGTCAGCCTCCTGTGGTAGTTGCTGAGGGAAACAGTGGGCCCTTGTTTCCTCCGAATCCTGAGCTCTGAGCTCTGTGCAGAACAGCGTCCAGCCTTGGCCTCGCAGGATGGCGTGACTTGGAAGCATGGCACCCATAGGCCTCCTCTGGCCACAGTGGACGGCCCTTTCATTGAGACATCCTTGTTACTGGCTGAGGGACAGATCAGATCCCTTCCGCAGAGCGGAACAAGTCCCTGGGAAAGTTCCCTTTCCTCTGGAGGCAGAGTGTGGTCAGAAAAACAAAATGACAGTTGAAATGAGGTCCCTTCCGTCCGAGCCCCCTCCCCACCCCATCCCATCTGCGAAATGAAGTCTGGCCCACCAGGGTCCCCTCCTCTGCAGTGTCCTGGGTTCTTGGGAGCCGGCCTACTCTCCCACGGTGTGCCTAGACCCTGCCTGAGCTCCCCTCCTGGGTGGCAGCCCCAGAGGGCCCACCTTCTCCTTCCCAGCCAGCAGGGAGAGACTGAAGTCCCCTTGAGGTCTTTGCAGGAGGATAGACCCTTCAGGGCGAATGTGGCTTATCTGGCCACTTGAGGAGAAGCCATGCTGGAGAGCCTTCTGGAGCCAGCAGCAACTCCAGTCAGGTCTCAGCAAAGATGCTGCAGTGAGAGCCAAGCCAGGACCAGACCAGTCCTGATGTGTGTCCCAAGTTGCTGTTCTCGTGAAAGGGTTTTACTGGCATAAAAATGCTTGGAAAATATACAAAGGGAGGTGGCCAGCTTCCAGAACTCAACTGTTTACCTTCAGTGGAGCGGCTGGGAACGCGGAGAGCTTGTTTTCCAAACAGCCCATGCTTGTCAGGTCTGTAGGCCTGAGGCTGGTGCCAGGCCGGGACGAGCCAGGGGCATCTCCTTTCCCCACGCCCACTGGGACATGTTTCTGTCTCCTCATGCTGCACAGGAGACCCGGCAGTTTCTCTCTGGAGATGTGCGTGCTGATGGGGATGGAGCTTCACGCGTGTGACCCGGTTCTCTGCCGTTTCTAGCTGCCTCCGTCTGAAAAGATGGGCCTCTTGTTTGTGGTTCCCGTCACGGTGGCGCCACGGGTTACAGCCAAAGTGGGCTTGTGTCTGTGGCATCTTTTGAGCATTTGCTCTTCTCTGCCCAGGTTACTGCTTCCCACTGGCTTTGCTCCCCTTCCTTCAAATTCTGTTTCTTGTTTTGTCTTCCTGGGAAGTGGGTTTGGGTGGGAACATAATACCGAACCCACAGGCAGACCCAGAAGGGTCCTCCCAAGTTCCTGTGTCTATCGAAGGGGAAACAGAGGCCCAGGGGGGCTGAGGAGCCAGGCTGGTGCACAGGCCCAGGACACTTGGCAGCTCGGCTGCAGGCTCAGTCCGCAGGTGTTGCTGTCCGGCCTCCATCCAGGCCCCAGCTGGACCGCTTCCCAACCACAAGGCCTTGCCCGGTGACATCTCTTCTCTGGGCTCGTGGTGTCCTGATCTGTGACAGTGGGAATGTCACCGTCTGCTCCTGGGCTTGCTGTGAGGACGGCGAGTGCTGCTTCGCTTCCCCATCCAGGAGCCCTAGAAGGAATGGCCAGCTTCTCAGCTAGTCTGGCTTTTTGTTTTGGGTTATATACAGGCTAGTCACCATGGGGTGGGAAGAAAGAAGCTCCTTCAGTATTATTGTGAGGTCCGTGGGATTTTTTTGTTTGTTTGTTTGTTTTTTAATAGGGGAAATCCCTTAATATCTTTTCTGGCAGACAAAAAAAAAAAAAAAGGAGTTAAGGATACCACCTGGAAAGAGCTGGTACTTTCGGAAGGTTTGACTAGACAAGAGTTTAACTAAGAGAGGATGACAAGGTGTGGGCTGGGTCAAAGCAGCCAGCGAGATGTGGTACAGCCCCCACAGCGTGGCAAGCTGTCACCACCCCAGGCCCGAGGGGTCGGCGGGGGGTGGGGGAGTGGAGGTGGTACGGGAGCCCTGAAACACCGGAGGTCTTGGGAGAGGGGCTGCGTGCCTGATGGGGGCTGTGTCTGCTGCCAGAAATGCGGCAGGGGTGTGAGGTCGGTGGGAACAGACACCCCGACGGCTCTTTCCCCCTCTCTCCCATCTTCCCCCCTCTCTCCCATCTTCCCGTGTGCCTCCATTGTCCGCGCGGCCAGAAGCCAGAGGACAGGGCGGCCAGGTGGTCGTGGCTCCAGAGCACAGCCTTGCAGGGCCCGGAAGGGCGGGAGCACTGGATGGCAAGCCCAGCTTCAGATCTGCATCTGAGCGCTGCCACTTTCTCACTGTTAGATCTGGCGGGGGGAGGCGGGGGTTCCAGAAGTCCGTATTCCCCACCCTCCTCATTTGTAAAATCACTTTGCATCATGTGGTTGGAAAATAAAAACTTAGCTTCTAGCGTGATGTCTACCCAGAGTGGACATTCGTAGCTGTCTTTGTGATTTCTTTACTAACAACTTGGAAACAGCCTGGAATCCTGGAGGGAGCCCCACTTACGCGGGGATGCCCGTGGGGGTGGGGCTGGTGGCTCTCTCGGGCCTCTGCTGAGGCCATCCGGGGGGTCAGCCAGGTGCCGGGCTGGCGCCGCTGCCTCCGGGGGACTGGCCTTGCAGGTGGTGGCGGCCGTGTGCCGGGCGGCAGACATCTGGCGGGTCAGGAAGCATGGTGTCGGGCTGCCCGGCTGTTGCAGGTGCTCCTGTCTTGGGGTCAGGTGATGCCAATGGTCTGTCAGCTGGGCAGCCCTGGCTCCCTTGGGACGCGATCTTCTTAACCTCCGTGTTCTTGAAAAAATAAACAGAGCCACCCGTGGAGCAGGGCCAGCAGGGCCTGGCGGGGCCCAGGCCGCCCCGCACTCCCTCCCGGTGGCTGTGATCAGCCCTGATTTCAGTGTGAAGTGCAAGCTGCCCGCCGCTCAGGGCCGTGCCTCTCAGGTGCATGAGGATCACAGCTCTGCTGAGACTGTGTCATTTCGTGGGAAGAGTAGCTGCCTAGGTCTCAGTTTAGACCTGGCCGTGTGACTGCAGTCATTTGGCTTCAACTTGCAGAGCCCTGGTTTCCCGACCTGAAAAACCGAGGTCATTGAGCAGATGGCGCACGTCCAGTAAATGTTTTCTCCATACAGTGATTTCGCGGTGACGCTCGCCTAACTGGTAGATGCCTTGGTTCTACGTGTGCATCTTCTGTATCCGGGGGTAGGATGGGGCTCGGGGACAGAAATGCAGACTCAGGGCCTGTCCTGGAGGCGTTCTGGAATCTTAGTGGGTTTGTGCCCTTTGTCCCGTTTGTATTTCCCATGAGCGCCAACCTTCCTCCTGCCTCCTGTCCCAGTGTTGCAGGGACGTGCAGGGGTGGGATGGGGGAGGCAGCGGGGCAGTGGGCTCTGGTGCTGAAGTTGTTCTTTCTCTCCGTGTCCCCCCCCCCCCCAACCTCCCCACCGCCCTGGCAGCTGAACCTTAGCCGGCCGATTGAGGAACAGGGCCCGCTGGACGTCATCATCCACAAGCTGACCGATGTCATCCTCGAAGCCGACCAGAACGACAGCCGGTCCCTGGAGCTGGTGCACAGGTTCCAGGTGAGCGAGGACGGTGAGGAGGGAGGGCCCAAGAATGGCCCTGCATGTTTCAAGAGCTGTCGCAGCTGTCTGGCCGTGTAGTCCGGGGTCGTGGTTGTGCTGCTCCCAAGACCTGGGCTTGTTTGTGGGTCGGCACTTCCCCGCCAGGGCCTCAGTCTCCTCGGGTGTCAAATGGGATCCAGCCAGGGCGTGGTGGGCAGGCCCACTGCTCCCAGCCTGTATAGATGTGCTCTGCTGATCAGAGTGCTGCCGTGTCCAGATACGGCCTCCACACTTGCAGCAAACACACTCACGGTCACTGGTTCCGAGTTGGCACCGGGGCTGGGACCCTCCTGTCTTGTGTTGAGGAGGGACCCCTGGGGGCCATTGAAGTAGAACAGCCTTACCAGCTCCCTGAGTCCTGCCTTGGTGGAGAACCCCTCTCTGAGCTCATTGCTTGGACCCCTGTGTGCTTGTCTCTGAGCACGGACTGAGTCGGCTTGGCTGTTCCCACATCCCTGCCCCATCCCCCACTGCCCCCACCCCACGGTCTTGACCCCGCAGTGACCCACCCGCCACTTTGGGAGGTGCTGCCTTTGCCCCCACTGACGTGCCCTGTGTTTTCTCTGTTGTAGACAAGAACGTGATTCATCCCCATGAAAAACAAAGTCATATTATCAGTGAAAATGTAGCCAACATGGAGGGCCTCCCTGGTGGGAGGGGATGCTTGAGCGCGCTTTTCAGCGTGTGATAATTGGAGATTTGACGTCCTGTCCTTCTGTATCCTCACAAAGGGGACTCTCCTTAGCCTCCTTGGCCACACAGTAGCCCTCCCGCTGACAGCATTTTCTTTCCCCCATGTGTCCGGGGTTGTGACCTCAGCCTCCCTTGCTTGCTTACCCACGGCTCTTCCCCCCTGCTTGGCTAGCTCTGCCACGGGGCCCCACTTCCCTTGTGCAAGGTAGCCCAGAAGCAGCTGTGGCCTGCTCGTGGCCCTGCTGGTGGCCCCCCTGCCCGGGGGGGGGGGTGCTCTCCCCATGTCGTGTCCTCCAGGGCCTTTGCCTTGCCTGTGGCCCGAAGTCTTTCGCGCTTTCGTAGGGCTGGAGGCCATGCGAAAGGCGCGTTCAGGCTCCTCCGTGACCTCGCTGAGACTCCGTTTTCTTATTTGTAAAATGGTATCAGGACCAGGAAACCCCATACAACGTTGGTCAGCGCACACGACGCCATGCCTGTGAAGTGCTTCTTGCATTGCTCAGTAGAAGGTCAAGGCCGCTTCAATCGTGTGACCTCTGTGAGCCTTAGTTTTCTCTTCTGTAAAATGGGGATGTTGATAGTTCCTGTAGTCCTTAGGACGGTGAGGTTGCTGAGAGAAGTAAATGTCCGTGTATGTAGAGGTTCCTAATGTTTGCTGAGTGTGCAGACGCTCTGCTCCTGCTGCTAGGACTTCAGTGCTGCCCGCATTGCTGTGTTTCTGCTGTTCTCCTGCCTCAAGGGTGGTAGCCCTCAGCCAGCCCCAGGGCCCTGGGGGGGCTCCCATCCCTCACTTCCCATAAACACACACACCGCCCACAGCCCAGGGCAGGTGGTGGCTGAACAGTGAAGGAGAACTGGGTCCCCGTGTTCCGGTCTTGGTAGAAGACAAGGTTACGGTGAGAGAACATGGCAGGGGGGGTATTGGGGACGTGTGGCTTCAGGGTTTCAGCCACCACGTGCATTTCCCAGGGAAGTCTTGACTGGGTCCCTGGAGTCTGTCCCTGCCAGGAGGTGTGCACATTCGGCCGGCCCTCAGATGACTGAGGTGACCTCAGTGTAACCTTCCAGCCTTGGTATTTTTGGGATAAATTTTCACTGCACTCTGTGCTCGAGCATGAAGCCGGATATCTGATAAGGCCGGGACGTTTCCTCCTTTGTGAAGAGAACAATCCTTTGGGGAAAAGGGTGACAGGCTGAGCTTTCCAGAGGCCCCAGGAAGAGAGGAGACAGGCGGGGGCTGGCGAAGAGAAGTACTGAGGGACCCCCGGTGAGGGCCAGGGGAGAGGCCTGCTTGGCTACACTCGGGCCTTCCTCCTCCGCTCTCAGCTCTGACCTGGTCACCCGCTCTGCTGTAGGGTTCGGAGCCGGACCAGATACACTGGCACTTGACCTTGGTCACGCCACTTATTTTCAGTTTCTTGTTTTAATATTCATGCAAGACTTTAACAAGGAGACGTTGGCTTGGGTGGGTAGGGAGCACAGGGTCAGTAGAAGGGAATCGGAGCCTGGGGCTTGGGTTTGCGAAGCTGGCTTTTCTGCCGTTTGTTGTGAATAAGCAAACAGAGTAAGATGGTTTGGCCCAGAAGGGGCTCATCTTGAAGGGCCTTCTCCGGATGCTGTACTCAGGTCCTAGGAGAAGTGAGCTGAGGAAAAGGTGTCTCTGAGGTCTTCCCGACAGCCCTACAGCATTCTGTCCCTGGGATGCTTCCCTGAAGCTCTAGCCTGGGATGGAAAGGAATTCTCCGAGCTGAGAGGTTATGCTTTTTTCCTGGCTGCCTTTGAGGACAGGTTGGAGGGTGTAGGGCTGGGGTTCATGGCAGATCACTAAAGCTGGTGCCATAGAAACCACCCCCCGCAAGCCTTTTTTTTTTTTCTTTTTTTTAAATATTGGCCCCAAGAGAGCTTTGCTTGGAGAATCATCAGGATGATTCAGTTGTTTTTCTGCACCAGGATTTATGTAGAGCCAGCAGCCTGGTGCTGCCGTGGCTCTGTCCGAGAGTTGTCTATCACTGAACAGACCTGGGGGGCCCTGCCCCTGGGGGCGAGTGGACCTGGGGTATTGGGAGGGTCCCTGTCCCCATGTGCAGGGGTACTCTGGCCTCTCGACCTCTTTCCCCAGGGGAGCAAGGAGACCCTTCTCACTGTGGCACCCAGGGTAACCTGTGTGGAGTGGCCAGGGGCAGTCCTCCTTCTGTGGCCCTTTCCAGTCTCAGAATCGCCCAGAGGGGCTACAGTGATTCTGTTCTGTGGGGCACACGAGGATCTTCCTGGGCCTTTCCCTGAAGGAGCTTGGAAGAAGGGGGTTTGAGTCTAAACTGACCCCTCTTCCCCTATCTTGATTAGCTGGAAGATTGTTAAATGTTCCACAAACACTAGGTCCGGAGGGGAGACCTAGTCTGGAGGGGAGGCCGATGAGGAAACCGGGAACTGCCCCCACAGCCCCGAGTGATGAGTTAGGGCAAACGCAGACCTGATCACTACATGTCCTGGCATCAGACCATTCTGTGCCTTCTCTTTGCAGCGATAACAAAGACTTCATTCAGTCTTGAACCAGACCTCTGAGACCTGTGTGATCTGGCCGTGGCCCCCCCCCCCCACGTCCTCACCGTGGCCCACCTGTCCTTCAGGCTCTGCTCTCTTGCCCACCTCAGTGTCTTTGCTCCAGCTGTCCTCGTGCTTGGGGAGATCTTCACCCCCAGATCTCAGCTCAGGTGCCCCTCCCTCAGGGAGGCCTCCCTGGTGATCTCTCTAAGGATACACCCACCACGTCCTAGGCCCTCATAACATGCTGCTTTTCCTTTCCACTGTTGGGAAGTGCATGATGCTCTAGCGGTTGCTTCTGTCTGTCTGTCCATCTGGGGGTTAGCTGCATGGGGGCAGGGGTCACATCCTCATCAAGCTCACCGGGGATCTACATTGCCGCCCATGATCCCTGCTACGTAGGAATTGTGCCCATGTGTTTGTGAAGGGAAGGAGCATTGTCGGTGCTGGCTCAGTGCAGGATGCCCTGGTGGGTCAGAGGAGGGAGCAAATGGCTCCGGGACGGGGGGTGGGGGGTGGGTGCATTTCGAAGCAGGACATCGGGAAGGTTAATGAGGCAGATGGTGCTGCCTTTTGGGTGCGTGTGGGGATGCCTCTGAGGGCTGGGGAACTGCAGGATGAACGGGTTGGAGAGAGAGGGCTTTTTCTTGCCAGGCTGTGGAGCTTGGACTTTATCCTGCAGGCCAGGGGGTGAGGGCGATAAGATCAGATTTCACTGGCATGAGAGAAGCCCTGCTTAGGACGGGGCCGTTGCCAAGGCAAGATGAACTCTGAGTAGTGAGGACACCATAGTCATCGGAGCCTGGCAATTTCTGCAGGGAAGAGAGAGCTCATGGCCCTGGGATCCTTCAGCTGTGACAGGCGCCCATTGGCCCATGCTCACCTGTCGGGTCCCAGCTAGCCGTCTGATTGTACAAAATGCATCTAGGAAGGGAGCTCCTTCCTCACCTTGTGGATACAGGCAGAGAATGCACACTTTGCCCATTGGTTTTACCTGAAAGGAAACAGCTTTGTGAATCAACCTCCAGTACCCTGGCCCCTCATCCTCCACCCCTTAAGCTTGAAAAACAGGCTTATTGAGATATAACTCACAGACCATACCATTCACTCATTTAAAGTATATAGTCTGATGGGTTTTAGTGTATTCATAGATCCATGCAGTCCATTTTAGGACATTTTCGTCATTCCCCCCAAAAAACCCGAATCTTTAACTATCATCTCCCTTGCTGGCCCTAGCAACTAACACTTTCTGTCTCTATGGCTTTCCTTATTCTAGACTTTCATGTGAGTGGACTCATATAATACTTGACTGCTGTGACTTGCCTCTTGCGCTTCGCATAAGGTTTTCAAGGCTCATCCGTGTCGTAGTGTGAATTGGCACTTCCTTCCTTTCGATGGCTGAATCACGTTCCATTTGGATACACCACATTGTGTGTCCAGTCATCAGGTGATGGGTTTCCATGTTCTGACTATCAAGAATAACGCTGCTGGGGTGCCTGGGTGGCTCAGTCGGTGAAGCGTCTGACTCTTGATTTCCACTCAGGTCATGATCTCACGGTTGTGAGATTGAGCCCTGTGTTGGGCTCCATGCTAGGCATGGAGTCCACTTAAGATTCTGTCTCTCCCTCTGCCTCTCTCTCTCTCCCCCTCTTTTTTTTTTTTTTAAGATTTTATTTATTTCAGAGAGAGATGGAGAGCATGAGCAGGGGGAGGGGCAGAGGGAGAGG